GGTTGGACCTCGACTTTACATCTCATTTATATTATGGTATATCATTATAGTCATATAATAGATACCTGTATGTAGGCATTTTTAAAATAAGAAAGTACCACTGTTTTCACTTTGTAATTTTCATGACTCTCATAGCTAAAGTGATTTTCCCCTCTCAGTTTTTTGTTTCTATATATAATTCTTACTGTACCCATAAAACCAACATGTTTGGTTTTGTGTGTTGGTTTTATGTGTATGTGTGTGTGTGTGTGTGTGTGTGTGTGTGTGTGTGTATATATATATATACATATATATATTGTGTGTGTGTGTGTATATATACATACATATATATGTGTGTGTATATATATATATATATATATATACACACACACACATATATATACTTTTTTTTAACTTTCACTTTAAAATAGATAACTGTTTTTAAAGGTGCTATGTGAACATCTACAAAATAACGATGTATATTTTCCATAATTGTCAAGGTTAAGAAATGCAAATAAAGGCTTGGGCTGACTCTGTAGCCTAATGGCTGTGGGAACCAGATCCCACATGGCCAGCTGCAGTTCGAATGCTGGCCTGGTGGCTTGAAAAATATGCCAGGCATCTGGGCTTGCATGCCCAAAGACTTCATAGGGTGGACCATGCCCCATTGGAGGGTGCTATTTCTTTCTTTCTTTTTCTTCTTGAAGAGATTTTTGCTACAGGGCACATGTGGAGAGATAGTGAGAGAGAAAGAGAGAAATCATCCCCCAGGGGGATGGCCATGTTGTAATCCCACCTCCTCCATTCTCCTCTTAGGATTTTGGGCATGCATGCACACAGACCAGGCATGCAGGGCTGCTGCTTCCCTCTGCCGCTCTCTGATGAATGTATGCACCCTCTGGCAATTAAAAATAAAATAGAAAATAAAGGCTAAAAACTGTTGCAGATTAAAGGAGAGTAGAGAGGCATGAAAAGTAAATGCAGTGTGTCCTCCAGAATTCATATACTAGAGACTTAATCCCCAGTACAGTAGTGCTGAGGAGGCTAGGGTCTTTAGGGAGCCATTTAGGTTATGAGGTCTCTGTCAGTCTCATGAATAGAATAATTTAATGCTACTGTTAAAAAGGCTCACAGGGGGGACCAGCAGTTAGCGTAATGGCTATGTTGCTGGACTCCCATGTAGTCAACCGCAGTTCGCGTCCCAGACCCGGTGGCTTAAAACTCACGCCGGGTGCGTGTGCATGTGTGCCCAAGATCCCAAGAGGAGAACGGAGGAGAAGGGACTGCGGTGTGGCCGTTCCCCGGGGGATGATTTCTCACTTTCTGTCTGTCTCTGTCTGGCGAGCGCACGTGCCCTAAAGCAAAATCCTCTCCAAAAGCGTGGCCTAAAACGAAAACCTTTCCAAAAAAAAAAAAAAAAGGCTCACGGGAGTGGGTTTGCTTTCTGTAGCCCTTCTTCCTTCTTTCATAGGAGTTCAGCACAGTAGTTTTGAACCTTCCTGTCTCCAAAACCAAGAAATAAATTTCTGTTCTTTATAAATGACCCAGGCGAAGATATTTTATTACAGCAGCACAGATGGGCTACCCTGATTTGGCTCCTAGACTGGAGAAGAAATTACTGGGAACATTGATAAATTTTAATGTGAACTCCATAGTAGTATTATATCAATTTTAAGCTTTTAAATTTAGTTAGCTATACTGTGGTTATGTAAAAGACTCGTTATTAGAAAATAAGTACTGTAAGTTTAAAATATATCAAAGATACCTCCATAAAAGTGTCATAAATGAAGGAAGAGCTTATAGAACTAATTTGTTTGATTACTCTTTCAAATGATTGCCTAGTTTAAAATGTCAAGCTGGGCCAGCTGGGTGGTGTGGTGTGGTGGTTAAGGCAGCTGGATCGCACATGACCGACTGCAGTTGGGAGTCCTGGACCTGATGGCTTGAAAAATATGCTGGGTGCATGTGCATTCAGAGAGGAAAGGAGAGAAGGGATTGGGGAGAGAAGGGATTGGGGTGTGGTCATCCCCCCTGAGAGGTGCTCTCTCACTTTTTCTCTCTCTCTTGTCTGTACCTCTCTGTCTCTCTCTGGGGAGCTCATGCACACTATAGCAATCTTTTGATCCAAACAAAGCAAAACAAAACAACACACTTCAAACTAACTTTTAAAAAAAACTAATTGGGAGAGCTATGAAGTAACATTTTCTCCTGAGTCATTTGCTTTGTAGTAACATGTTTCTCATTCTAAGTATTAAGTTCTAGATTCCCATTTTGAAACACAAAGGCTTATTTACCAAAACTATGATTTAACTGAGCAGTGTCATCAGGTGTTTCCTTTCTACTGTTAAAGAAACACAGACTAGTTTGTCACCTCTCTTATGCTATTCCTGATATCGCCAAAATGTCCAATCATGCTTTGTTGTTGTTTACGACTGCATGAATTAGGGTAAGAGCTTATATGCTTCTTGGTTTACTGCAAACATTTCTGTCTGTTGTTTTACTAACCAAAGCAATCTTCATAGGTACAGTAGGGCTAGCCAACAGAAACTCAAGACAATCTGGGCAGTATGTTCTATCAGTAACAAAATTATCCAAGCTTCGAGAACATTTATTGACTAATTACTATAACACTGGGCACCAGGGACATAGTGGTGAGTAAAAGAAACTTTAGCTAATAGTAACAAGGAACTGCTGTCCCATATTAAGAACCCCTCCATTATAGTTGCTTTGTTGGGGGCAGGTCCAAACACACAAAGATAATAAATTCGGGTGAAGTATTTAGACAAATGTAAACAGTTGCAAAATACATTGAAACCTCAAGCTGTCCTGTTGAATTGTCTTTATGTTAGTGCTACTTTTTACTTTATATTAAAAGTGGTTCCACCCTCTAAACCTGAGAAAGTGTGCTGCCTGTCCTAGTGCCCGTTACAGTGATTTATTACATGTCTGGTGTTTGAAAAGTGCTTCTGTACCCCACCTGTTGTGCTACTGTAAACACTAGCTGTCCTCTTGTGTGACAGGGTTGGTCTTTTGCCTTTCACACACACCGTGTGGTCACGCATTGTATGTCACATCGTGTCTGCTCCGGTATTTAGATATTCTTTCAGCATGGTATTTTGGATATTGGGTTGCAACTTGTTTCTTTTACTGTGACTCTGGCTTAAGGAAGAACTTTACACACAAGGAACTTTTACTCTCATACCACCACTTTTTCATTTTTTGACTCAGTGCTAAGTAGGAGGAAGATTCTGAGAATATTAAAATATTTCAAAGAAATATATAATAAGCATATGAAGAGAACTACACCGGAAATGTTTTTAGAATATTCTAAGAAAGATTAATACAGTAAAACCTTGGCAATCCAGAACTTACAGAGAATGAATTATTTCAGATAGCCGAGAGCTTATCCATTTGAATACCAATATTAAAAAAAAATTTCTGGATTTCTGATATATTTTCTGCAGTATTCTATATATAGCTTAAATCTTTTACTTATATGATTCATACCATTAGGAACACTCATCGTTGTATTAACACCATGATCACAATTGTGTAAAAAAAAAAAGTACGTATAGATTTGGAGCCAACAGGTAGCATGGTGGTTAAGGTGCTAGACTCCCACATGGCCAAATATGATTCAAGTCCCAGACCTGGCAGCTGAAAACCACGCCGGATATATGTGTGTGCGTGCCCAAAATCCCAAGAGAAGAAGGGATTGTGGCATGGCCATCCCTCCTATGAGGGGTGATATTTCACTTTCCCTTTCTCTGTATCGTTCTATCTCTCTTCTCAGCGAATGCATGTACCCTGTTACAAAAACCTAAAAAAAGTATAGATTCAACAAAATTGACAGAAAAATTGAAGCAATGAAAGCAATTTTTAGGTTAGTATCATGAGATGGTATCTTTTTCAAATATTATTTTAAACTGTGACATGGTGATTTGTTCAGGACATTTTATTTGATTAACTTTAGCATTAGCAGTATTGCTTATTGGGTTTTTAATTTTGGCAATCTTTTATTAACTCTCTACAGTGTTTTTGTGTCCTCTGTTTACTGTCACCTCCCAGCACTGTGCTGCCTCTCACAGGAAGTTTAAAGATTTCTTTGAAAGGGTCTCTTATTTCACATGCTAGCCAAGGCATTGTCATACATCATGGGCCCATTTTGCCCAAGCATCAGAGGAGCAGGGATTCAAAAGTCATCTTGAAAAGGAAGGAAAGGGAAAAGTAGGGTATTTTCCTACTTTCCATAGAGTGTCATGGATTTTGTTTCTTTGTTGTCTTCCATCTTTAGGAAGTGAGAAGGTTTAAACATTGTATTTTGAAAAGATAGTAAAGGAGGCAAATTAAAATAAAAATTTGTGGTAAAGGAATAACACAAAGATTCTTTATTTTTTATTAGAGAAGTTCAGTTTTGCTTTTTTGTGTGTGTATTGACCAAGAGTCCTTCTGTTTGAAGATGTCAACATATGAACCAAAATCATGACACACCAAAATCTTTAGTTTGAAATAAAATGTGAACTTAAAAGGAAAGTGTGACTTTCAGCATGCTCTTCTGTAGCAAACAGGTATTAACAATAATTAATCCGATTCTTGATGATTCTAGTTATATTTGTTTTATAGTTTCAAATATGTGTGGACCTACTACATATACTTGTCATTTTAAACAGCCATGTAGTATGGTTTTTAATGTGTAACTAAAATAATTTTGGTTAGTGAGTACAGTGGGCTGTTTTCTTCACTCTAGTTTCATTAACGTCAATCTTAAGTAAGCACAGTAATTAAGAAAGAATGAATACTTTCACATATAGCAACAGAATTTTTATCAGAATTCATTGTAACCCTCAGGTTTCTGTTTTGGGTGATGCATATTGCAACATTCAAACTTTCTCCATGTCCACATTTTCTGTTCAGGGGACACAACAGGGTGAAAATCCATTTAACTCACTAAGGATTCTCAAAGGTCAACAGACAATATTTTACCTCTTACTGATTCTTGTTGGATTTCTTTCTTGGACTAGATGGGGAAAAAAAGAATCAAGTGATGATTCATGGAATTGAGCCAATGTTGGAAACCCCTCTGCAGTGGCTAAGTGAACACCTGAGCTACCCAGATAATTTTCTTCATATTAGTATCATCCCCCAACCGACAGATTGAAGGATCAACTATTTGCCTGAACAGATCTCCCTGAAACAGGAATTGCCAGAGCATGTCACCCTTCTGCTTCCATCAGGTTTGGTGAAGGCAGCCTGACCAGAAACACTGCGCTGCTGCAAGCCAAACAGGAAAAAGATCCCATGTCAGATAAGGTTACTGAGCTGGTCTGACTGTGCATCACCACCGCTTTCCTCCACTGCCGTCATTCAACTTCAGCTGCGACCTGAAAGACTTCACAGGACCACTGCAGGGCTTCTGTTTTCGTGTAAAGTATAATGAAGTCGAAACCCTTGGCCTAAGAAGAAAATGGAAATATGTGCCATTTGATTTGTATTTCTGATTAACAAATAAACGGGGTATTTCCTAAGGTGACCATGGTTGAACTTTAGCTCAAGAGAGTGGAAAGATTGGTTTAATTTTCAAGAGAATTAGACTTAAAGTAAAAGAGAAATTCTGTTATCAATAACTTGCAGTAATTTTTTTGTAAAAGATCAAATTACAGTAAACCCATCTTTCCTTAATGAAAATTTCCTATGTTTACAGTCTGTCTACTGGTATGCAAACAATCTTGTACCTTTGATAATGAACAGTGAGAGATTTTTAAATAAAGCCTCTAAATATGTTTTGTCATTTAATAACATAGTTTTGTCACTTTTCAAGTCCTTTCTGACTCACAGTAGATCACTTTTGACTGTCTGTGTTACCATTTTGACTGCTCGTCATTGGTCTGGAGTGGATATAGGGCATAAGATAACATGTCTCAGGAGCTGTCCCACAATTTCGTGCTGCCAGTTTTAAAGTCTATGTTCTTTACACACTAAAGGTATAAATAATGTAACTGTTTATCTTTTGCTTATCACTGTAAACCCGTCAAATCAGAGTATGCCGAGCATCTGTATGAGATCATTTTGCATTTTCGAGAGAACCCATTTCTTTCCAAGCTAGTGTTTCTCACTGGCTCCAGGTCTAATATTTCACTGTGGCCCCTGGCAGCCCGTCTTTGAAGTCTAAAGATTACCTGTTTCGTGACTGCGGTAGCTTTTCCTTAACTTTACCAAAAATATCCAAAGGTTACTGGAGTTTTTATTCACTGTAAGGAAAGTTTGCTGCACTTTATTATCAAGCTGCTGGGATTCTACCAGTTGAACATATTTGTACATTATAGTTGATTTCTTGTGAACTAGCTTGCTGTCCATATTGAATGTCAACCCCATTTGAGTATGCTAAAAGACTTATAGTATCATACAATAATGGTTTTAGATTCCATAATAAAGATGAATGTTTTTCTTATAAAAAACTATTATATGAATGTTGGCCTGAGACCCCACTACTGCGCATTGTTTTCTTGTTCCTTTTGTGATTTTTCACTGATAAATAGCGTATTTATTCACAAAATGAGATAAAGTTGATCTAAGAGCAAATATTATAGAAAGGAAATGATAAGCCCCAGTCAAAAAGAATAGAATATAGGCTACCAAGCACAAAAATACAGAAGCAAGTAGGAAAAAAAATTGACTGATGCAAATAAAATGAAAAGTAGCATTTTAGTAAAGGCAGGAGAAAATAGCAATATTTGAGTTACGTAAAGATAAAAAACATTCAATTCAGTGATTTGTATTTTTGCAACAGCGATGGTCTGAATATGATTGTTCACATTAAAAGTGTTTATTCGTCTATTCAGTTTGGGGGTTTTCCCCCTTGATGTTTTGACAGACTAAAGTGAGCTTCAATGAGCAAAAGGATTGACGTGCTTGGGAGTGTGCTGTGCTGTGATGAAGAAGGTGTGGTCAGAGTGGTAAGTCATGGTAGTTTTCCGTAGGAGACTGCTGGAAGGTCCTTGAGTGAGCTACTGATCTTTACTTCCAGATTGGACATAAGTCTTATCAAGCCATTGCCCATTTTTATTTCCTTGTTTATACACCAGCATCATAACTTCATTACCCAACTCTAAATCCCAGGTGAGTCTCAGCATCACAGAGGAGGAATAAAACCAGTAATTAGTGCTGACTTAAATATCTATTTTTGTTTCTTTTTCTTTGAATATTTAAATTGTATGGTTTATTAAAAAATTAAATAAATATTGCATCTGTTTTTTTATTTCTAGAAGTTGGAAATGAAATTTATATAAAACAAGTTACCTACTGGGGAAGTCATTAAAATTTTCTTGGTCTTAAACCTATCACAAAAGTTTCTCAGAGAAATAAAGAGGATGAGAGATAGAGGAGAACAAATGACAGAAACATTGCAGAGGACCAGAAATCCCAATAGGCTTGGTAACTAGTGGTCCCCTCAGAAAATAATGTTTTTATTCTTTTTTGTTTCATTGTTTAATGTTTCCCATTGGGCACCTGTGCTTCCCAGAGAAAAACAAGAATAGAGAGGGAAAGTGAGTAAGTACTCCCTGTGAAAGAAAAGGTCATACTGCGGTCTCTTCTCCTCCATCTGTCCCTCCTTTCAGGATTTTGGGCACACATGCTTGTACACATGGTTGGTTTGTTTTTCAAACCTCCACATCTGGGACTCAAACCATGCAATTGGCCGTGTGGGATCCAGCCACCTTAACCACCACACTGCAGTCTGGTCAAATACCTTTTTAAATTATTGTCATTGTTCACTAGAACACATAGATTCAGACTAGACAAAATAAATCATTGCTTGTACTTCGTAATACTGCTTTTCATCTAGATAATGTAAGTTCTGATCATGAATAGAGTTGAATTGATAAGCACCATAATTTTCATATATATCTAGAGGACCAAATAACCTATTCATAATTCAACAGAGGTGACCTATTTTTTTCTTTTTTTTAATTATATTTATTTATTCATTTATTTTAATTTGACCAGAGAGAGACAGAGAGATAGAGAGAGAGAGTGAGAAAGCAAGCCAAGCCACCAGGGTCTTGAACCATGTTTGGCCATGTGGGAGTGTCCAGAGCCTTAACCACCATGTCACCTGCTGACCCTTTTATAGGAATTGGTTTCTAGACCATATTTTAATTTTGAGTGTGTGGTAAATTTCTTTTGTGGACTAGTCTTGTTATATGTACCCCATTCACTGAAAACAAGATAGGAATTTGCCATTTTGTAAGAAAATAATATACAGGGACCAGCAGTTAGCGTAATGGCTATGTCGCTGAACTCCCATGTAGTCGACCGCGGTTCGAATCCCAGACCCAGTGGCTTAAACTCAAGCCGGGAGCGTGTGCGTGCGTGCCCAAGATCCTGAGAAGAGAATGGAGGAGAAGGGATTGCAGTGTGGCCATCCCCCTGGAGGGTGATTTCTCCCTTTCTGTCTCTCTGTCCCTCTCTGTCTTTCTGGTGAGCGCACATGCCCTATAGCAAAAAAAAGAAAAGAAAAGAATATACAAGATATGTAATTCAGTGACTACTTTTTTTTTTTTTTAACTTGCTAGAGGGTGCATGGTGGTAGTGGGGGAAGAGAGAGAGAAAGCACAGATGGTTGCATCACAGTCCCCTCTTCATTTCTCCCTCTTTTCAGGATTTTGGATACATGTGCGCGTGCGTGCGTGCACACACACACACACACACACACACACACACACACACTGCTTAAGCTGTAGGGTCCAAGACTCAAACCACTCAGTTTAGCCATGTAGGATCCAGTCACCTTCACCACTGTGCAACTGGCTAGCCTGACAGTAATGTTTAATAGTTACCTCTAGAGAATGTTTGTTTATTTTTTATATAGACTGTTTGAGGTGAACTTTTCTTCCTTTCAGTTTTCAGAAATTGGTTTGTGGGTCGTGCTAGAGAAGGATAGTCTCACGTTTTATTACCATGCTGGTATCTAGGTCTGAAGTGAGTTGGATTCCTGTTACATGTGCCAGCCTAGTTGAAGCACAGGTATGGGATTTTGGGATACGAGAGGGGAAAAATGAAGTGTGAGCATATTTAGGAATGTTATGGTCACTGGGATGGAGTCAGGACATCTCCGTGCCTCTTGAATCCCGTCATCCTCGCAGGTGTTTTCTAATACAGTCATGCACAGCGTTACCACGTTTTCCTCACCAGACCACCAATACAGTGCTTCCATAAAAGCCATGTAGGCCGTGCCATGTAGCCTAGGTGTGCAGGAGGGTGCATCATCTGGATTCGTGCAAGTACACTGATGTTCACCTAACAAAGAGATCGCCGAACGTTACATTTCTTCGAATGTGTCCCTGGCACATGTTGGGGCCGGCAGGTGATGTGGTAGTGAAGGGCACTGGACTCCCATATGGCCAACTGAGGTTCTAGTCCCGGACCTGGTAGCTTAACTTCTCTCTTTCCC